TGGCACGCATGTGAGCGGATTTTCACTGCGAATAATACGAAAAAATACAAAAGTGAGCGGGCCTCGTTGTCAATTTATCAATTGCATAAAATAATAGGCCTAGGCGCATAATTTAATGTCGCGTTGTTTGCCACTTTTGAAGGCCGCTCCGCTGCACACATATTCGCCTATCTGTATAGAGATATATTTTGTATTCTATGGCTACACATGCAGATTAATCGCTGGAAAATGCATTTTGCGCCTGAGTCACGCAACCGGACCCAAAGTTCGATGCGGTTATGATAGCCGAAAGATACGGCAGCTAAACTTGCAATTATTCGTATTTTTTTGAGCAGTTCATAAACAGCATTAAGTTATCAGTGATCAGCGTTTCGACTTAACTTCTCATTGCCGCACACTTTCAGATACACTTCCGTTTAGCGTTGTTTGTTTTCAGCTTGCTGTGGGAATTTTAATCGTACTGGGGGGAAATTAATTGAGCTATTAATAGACTAATTTATGGCATACTTCCCAACGGTAACTCGCATGCTGCAAATTGCTAGAATAATTCTGCCATTTCATAGATCACACAGCACCCTTTTGGCCATTTTTGTATAGACAAACTCGCGGGCCATAAACGTTGTGTCGGTCTTTTCATTATGACCATAACAGTTTGCACATACCAAAAGAGCCAGAGACCAACCCACACGGGGACAGGCGTTGCCCCAATGCGTTGCACGCACCGAAAGCTAAAAAAAAATAAAAAAAAAATTATAAAAAATTCAATCGGAGACCCACAGCTTGAAAAACGCTTGCGATTTTAATTGCACAACTCGGGCGGATTGTGGATTGTGGATTTTTTTTTGGAAAAGTGCGAGGCCTAGCCCCACACACAACAAAATTATACCCATGTCAACTAGATGGCCACAGGTGAAATATATGTAAATACCTACCAAAAATACCTTTTCAATATCGCTCTTGAATAAATATAGAAATAATATTTTTGATTTCAATAATTCTTTGAAAATATTTTAGTTTACATTTTTAATTGTTAATTGAAAGCGATATTTATTCTTAAATGCTTAAAAAGTCTTACTGGCGAATAAAAAGGTCGCAAAAACAATTTTTAATTTGACTTTTCTTTTAAATTTTAATAAGATTCTAAGGAAAATGTTTGTTTTATTTGTATAAAGACTTTAAAAATATATATTTAAAAACTTTATATATATATTTTTTTTCAAAACTACTGTACATTATTAAAAAGCTAATGTTTTCTATAATTTATAATTTTTTTTCACTGCAGAGCTTGTTCTCCGCTTTGAGACATTTGTAACCCAATTCTGTCTCTCGGGAAAGGAGGCATATATGCACTTTGCGATTTACATTTCGAACTGCGGCGGCTTAATTAAAAGCGTGCTGCACAATGGCCAGGCAGTCGAATAAAAAAATGTGCTGTATGTAACGCCATACCTGGAGGTCAGCCGTGCGGTCTCCAACCTGTTGCATCCCCATTCCCATCTCCATCTCCATGTCCATGTTGATGTCCATCTCCAGACGAGAATCGCGGACCAGTCGCCGGCGGCGGCAATGTCTTCCTGCCTCCAGCAGCGATAAATTGTACTGGCATCAGCCTCTGCCAAGGTCGCTTCCTTAATGAAGTGCCGAAACTTGGGCTCGTTTCGTGGCAGGCACTTGACATGGAACTGGTTTCGGGCACCGCTCTCAAGTGGATGCCACCACCAGATGCAGGTGGTGATTGCAGCTTACACAGAAGAAACTTCGCCGGAAGTTATGTATTATTTGTCATAATTAAATATATCCTAATAAATAATGCTTGGTTGGTAAATACATTTTTTTAACGGTCGTTTATACCAATTATATATGATTTATCATAATAAAATATAAAATTTGCTTGGTGAGTACTTTGTTTTAATGGTTGGCATTAAGCAGTTATATAACATTTTGTTAAAAGCAAACTTAAATAAATTAGGTTAGCAGAATAAATTTTAAGCTTACAAATTTTAATGCCGTTTCAGTTTATTTCACATCCTGAATCAATCTATAAATGAGGTTTTCTTTCATTATAGAAGTAAAGTAATACAGTCCCTACTGCTTTTTCTCTGTGTAGCACAAAACAAACCGAAGGTTGCACTGCCCTTGTCCTGAACCTGTTTTTATGTCTGGTTTCTGCGCTCTCATCCCGATAAAAGGTTCTGAATTATGTAATCCCGTGCAGGAGCCTGTTGATTCTCATGACCCACTTTTGTGGCCATCCATACAATTTGCAGCCATAAATCCGTTTAGCCGGACACTCAGGATATGCGATCATAACTCATCAACTTCGCATAATACACGGAATCAAAGGCAGCGTCTAAATAGCTGAAACATTGAACTTGAGGTGAGGGAAACTGTCTTATGGATTGCCAATTATTCGCCAACTGTCATGCAATCTAATGAGCTGAGCGCCGTGATTAAAATGTATATGAAAATGCAATAATGCAAATGTTAATGCTTCATACTCCATTTGGGATATCCAGCCTGATCGGTGCTGACAGCAATATCTTCCCACTTGAAACACAAAAATCTCTGGGGCGAAGTGAATTTTTTGCGTAGGCTCAAAAGCATAGCAACGCGTGCAAAATGTCAACAGAAGGACAAACTTCAGCTAACAATTGCTAATGTGCGCCGATCGCAAGCAGATCGGTGGCCCTGAACGCACTACTTCGACGGCGTCTACGGCACTCGGAAAAAAGTGCAAAAAGTAAATAAACGCTAGATAAAGGCAAATAAATGCGTGAACAAAGCCAGGCAAACAACAATGCAGCTTAAGGCTTTAAAATTGGCTTTTAGAGGCAATTTGCTACCTCCCTCCCATTTTTTTTTCGCGTTGTTTTTCGATTTGACCTACCTCAAATCTATCCACTTCCTGGATTATTTCAAACTTTGGGCCACAATCAAACGAGTTGGATTAATCGATCTTGGTGGGACACGCCTGCCAAAAAAAAAAAAAAAACAAACGGAAAAAACCGAAAATAAAAATCATAATTTTGATTTGTATTAAATAAATCATTTGCCATTTGCGGTTTGTTTGTTGGCTATGCTACCAGGCCCATAAACAATAAAAACTCTTGATTTCTCATTGTTGCTTTGGTCTGCTAGTGTGCCAGTGTGTCTCTTACCGCAAGGTTGCAAGATTTTTTCTTTTTACGCTATTCACTTATCTTATTTTTTTGTGTTTTTTTAGCTTTGTTTTTTTTTGGCAACATAATTTACTTGTTGGCAAATCAAATTGTAGGGGGAACGCTACTATTCGAAATGAAATGCTTGTCGTCAATTGGCAAATTAATGAGCATTTGATGGCCAGTTGACCTTATGTCAAGTATACGCCGTGTGGCCGGACGCTGAGGGGCAGCAGGCAACAGACAGCAGGCAGCACCTTGTAATTGGATTGCAAACGTTTGTTCTGGTTCTGTGTGGCCTTTTTTGTCTTGTATAATTTTATCAGTTTGGGTAAACAATGGAGAGCATGAAAGGGGGCGCAGCTGATGCAACACAGTGTTTCATAAAAGTATGGCCCACTAAAAGGATTATTCTTTGCCATTATGTATGGTGCATTTGCATATGAGTATGGGCGAAGGCGATGATATAATAATTGCAAAACACAGTGCACAAAGCAAAAGTCGAGAGAATGACGCTGCCCATGCGACTCATTTCATTATTGCACTTGAACTTGCACTTGACATGCAAATTGCCGATGCGATAACTGCGATGCAATGAAGATTCCCTGCACTAATGAGCCGGGTAAACATTGAGTTTGGAGGGATCCATTTCACGCAGCTTTAATTAAATTGTAAATTCCAATAAATCCATTACAATTTTGAAAATGTAATATTTATACATTAATATAATATTTTCCCATTATACATATATAAAATCATGTTTGGCCTTGACAATTGTACACGTTTGTTTTTATAATTTGTATTGAACCTAATTAAGATACCAAAAATTTATTTAAATCTTCAAATTTAAATATTTGAAATACGAGTCCTTCAAGTAATAACCACTTTCTACTTTCAACTTAAAGCCAAATTTCTTTCTGTGCGTGATCGATTCTATCTAAAGCGGAACTGACCTACAATTGATTGATCAGCGTCTCTGGGTTGTCAAGTGTGTAACCCTCAAATTGCAATTTGTTGTCGCTAGCTGCAATTTCCTTCCTGTTTCCCCTCGGAGATAAACTGCTCGCACTGGACGCAGTAGTTGCGATTGCAATTGCAATTGCAATTGTGTGTTTTGTGCAACGAGGTCACTACACGAAAAGCACTTTCCCAATTTTCAGGCGATCAATGCAAATCGGAAGTGACTGTGTGTGTGTGAGTGTGAGTGTGCGAGAACACATTGCTGCATAAATGTTAAATTTATAAAATATTCAAGCAGCTAAGCAAGCTGACAAATGCATTGAGCAAAAGCGATTGTCGCCAATGTGTAGCTGTTGTTTTTTGGCATTATTGCTGATGTTGTTGCAATTGTTGTTCTTGGTGTTGCTGCTGTGTTTGCTGTTGCTTCTGGCCATATTGCTGCTGTTGTTGCTGGTTTTATTGCTGTTGTAACTAGTGCTGTTGCTGCGGTGTTTGCTATAGTTGCTGCTGTGTTTGCTGTTGTTGCAGCTGTGTTTGCTGCTATTGTTGTTGTTGTTGCTGTTGTTGCTGCTCCCAATGCTGTTGTTGTTAACGCAACAAGTTTCGTGTGTGTTGCCAATAAGTTGTCGCTGCCGACGTCTCTGCTCTCTCGCGCCGTCGGCTGTTAAACATTGCTGCTGTTGTCGTTGTTGTTGCTGTTGCTATCGGCTTTTGTTGTTATCGTGCGTACTTGGACCGCTCAATAACGCCGCTGCTGCTGCCGCTGCCGCTGCTGCTGTCGCTGCCGCCGGCCGCCTGCTGCTGTAAACACGAAAAAAGAGGCAGAAAAAATTGAAACGAAAGCAGAGGGTATTTAACCGACCTCAAATCAATTTGCAATTTCAGTCGATCTCCGCGTTGCAGCGTTGCATGAACTCAATTTTAGTCGCGTGCGAAACACAAAGTTTACACAAGTTCAACTAAAAAAAAAAAAAACAGACAAAATCACCGCAAAAGCCTTACGGAAATAGTTAGGAAACGGGCAACAACAACAACCATAACCAGCAGCAACAACTTGAACTCCAAAATAACCCAAAACGCAGTCGAAATTGTTAATTGAACTTTTATTTATTAACTTTGGCAAAACGGTGTCAAGCGCGGCCTAGAGAAAGAAATAAAAAACAAAAAAAAAATAAAAACCCAACGACAAACGCCCAAAACAAATTCCAAGCACGTTGCAGACGAAATTACGCAAACGGCGATATAAAACACACCAGCAACTGCTGCAACTACAGCAGCAACATCAACACCAACAGCTGACGTTCAATGAACGTTTCAGTTTCAGGTTACCCAGATGCAGATCTTGGCTAAGCCAAGCCATCCAATGTAAAGTGCAGCTCCGCCCGAGAGCTTTTTCCCCCCCACACTGAACTTGAAAGTGAAAGTGAAAGAGAGCGGAGAAATTAAGGAAAAGAGAGCGTAAAGACAGAGAGATAGAAAACGTAAAACATAGAGAAAGAAAGACCATAACAGCTTTTCGCTTTTGCTGGAGTGCCCGAAAAACATCTCAGAGCATCAGCCAAGGTCGTCTGAACGAACATGAACAGTTCCAAGGATCAGCCGGAACAGGCTCAGTACGAGGTGAAGGCTCCTCATGCCGGAGCAGAGGGTCATACGTTTCTAGTGAGTCCTGTGGATCCCACCCCGATCCTGGCACCCATTCTCACCGCTGTGCCTGTTATGAAACCCCTTGAGATGGAGCCGCCACAGCCCAAGGAAGCGCCCAAGGAGGAGCTGGATGACGAGCAGCCCTGTTGCAGTTCCCAGGCCGTGGTGCCCTTGTCCTCCTCCCTGCCCTGCAAGTTGCTCCGGATGCATGCCCGGCGATCGGCGCAGGCCCTGTTACACCAAATGGAGTCCCTGGACTCACAGCTGGGCAGCAGCCATGGCAGCAACTCGGAGGACACCTCGCCCAGTGCCCCACCCATGTCGCCGACGGATCAGCAGCTTGTCGACGTGGGCATGGGCTCCTCCATCGGGGATTCGGAGGAATCCTCGGAGGAGGGTGACGAACTGAAACCGCTGGCCGTGGACAATCACATCATGCACGAGGTAGATCTAGCCGAGCGGCAGGCGTCGCCTCCAGCTGTCTTGAGTGAGGCGAACTTGGAGAAGTTCCGCAAGCACCAGATGGACAACATCTACCTGCATCCCAACTTCACTTTGGACGCCTCTCCGCCGCCGGCTGTGGCCCCAGCCAACTCACCTGTCTTGGAGGCCAAGAGAAGTCATCGCTCGTTCCTGTCGCTGAAGAAGGACAAAGAGGTGGACCAGGTGCTGGAGAAGGAAGTGCCGGAAGTGCAGGAAGTGCAGGAGCAGGATCACGAGGCCCAGGGACCCAACGAGATAGATTCCCTGGATCCCGCCCTGGTGCCCAGCGAGGAGCTGGCTGCTGAGATCACCGACGCCGTGGAGTTCTACTTCTCCAACGAGAGCATCCTGAAGGATGCCTTCCTGCTGAAGCATGTGCGGCGCAATAAGGAGGGCTTCGTCAGCCTAAAGCTGGTGTCCAGCTTCAAGAGGGTTCGCCAGCTGACCAGGGAGTGGAAGGTGGTCGGCGATGCAGTGCGTCGCAAGTCCCGCAAGATCGAGCTGAACGCTGAGGGCACCAAGGTGCGCAGAATCGAAGCATTGCCCAGCTTCGATGAGACCATGCCCTCTCGAACGATTGTGGCCTGTGATCTTCCGCTGGACAAGCTGACCATTGAAAAGGTTTCGGATCTGTTCTCGCGATGCGGTGAGATCGCCCTTATTCGCATCCTAAAGCCGGGAATGGCCATACCCGTCGACGTGCGTCAGTTCATGAACAAGTACCCAGAATTGCAGCAGAAGGAGTGCGCGCTGGTGGAGTACCTGGAGTCCTCGTCGGCCCGGGATGCCCGCCACCTGAGTGGTCCCTTCCAGGTGTACGAGATGGTGGCCCCCAAGAAGAAGACCGGCAAGAAGGCAGCCGTCATCCAGATAGCCGCTCCAGTGGCTCGCATGGTGGAGAACTATCGCTACTACAACGACACCAGTTACGAAAGGAGTCGCGGCGGCAGCTTCTCCGGCCACGAAACTGTGCCGGATCTGCGCTTCAAGCTGAAGCGGAACAACTCGGACTTCCAGCCCAGCTACTACCAGCAAGTGGCGGCGCCCAACTACCATGGTCATGGTAATCCTTACCATGCCAATCCCTACCAGCCACGCGGCAGCATTGGCAGTCAGAGCCAGGAGATGGGTCCCTCGGGTTTTTTCGGCTATGGACCCAGGCGCTACAGCAACACATCGACGATCTCGGCCAACACAGCGGCCGCCTTGGGCGATGCCTCGCCAATGTCTTCTGCTGTCAGTTCAGGCGGTAATCCGGTGTCCTCCATGAGCAATCTCCAGCGGCGTCTGTCCAACTGCTCCGAGCAGAACTTCACGCCCGAGCCAAATGCCCCGATGTCGCGAAGGGCCAGCAACTGCTCGGAGACCGGCGGAGTAGTACCTCAGCGACGTGATTCGAACTGCTCCGAGAATTGCCCATGCTCCAGGAGGGTTTCCGACTTCGGCCAGACCACGGACACCGGCTACCGGAAGACCTCTGTCTGCTCCAATGGCAGCTGCCCGGGCAATCAGAGCCAGGAGCGTCGCTTCTCCAACGGATCCATGCAGTTCGAGCGAACCTTCTCGAATGCCAGCGAGAGCAGTGGCTTCTATCGTCGTCCCTCGAACGACTTCAACATGGAAAGGGAGCCCATCCAAACGGATCAGCTGGTGGGCGGCGGTGGTGGTGGCTACCAGGTGTGGCCCCGCCGCTACTCCAACAACTTCCAGCAGCTGAGCAGCAAGCTGGCGGCCTACGACAATGCCCAGTATATTGGCGGCAGGCGCATATCCACGGACTCGGGCTACGATCGTCGCTGCTCCTTTGGCTCGGAGTACGAAGGATCGCCCAGATCCCGCACCGGAAGCTTCCTGAGCAACTACAAGCACGGCGCAGGAGATGGCTACGACGGGCAGCCAAGGTCGCGAACCGGAAGCTTCCTGGACGGATCACCGCGTTCGCGATCCGGATCCTTTGCCCAGCGAACTGCCGAGAGTCTGGTGCGCACTCCCATGGGTCCGGATGGCAGCAAGGGTTTCGGCCAGAGGGCCAGGAAGTTCGGACAGGCCATATCACCCGTGAACTAGGGGGTCAGACTACCGCAGAGTGGGGGATTTAATTGTTGATTAATTTTAGTGGGAAGATAAACTGTTATAGAACCGTATGTGAAATTAATGGCTGTACACTGTGATGCTGTCCAACTTGTTAAACGTCCCACACGTACACCTCCCCCAAAACCCTTAGCCCAACCTAGGTTAGGAACAGAAACCTATAGCTATCGAATTTTAATCAGCGAAAACTATACGGAGGTTACTTTGGTCAATGTGGAATTTTGCTAGCCCTTGCTTTATTATTTGTTTAAACCATTCTTATATGCAACATAACTACAACAATCACTGCCAATAGTTTAAGGAAAGGAAATCGGAAAACAATTGGTTTGGTAGACACTTAAGATCATACTAATTTGATTGACCATTAACCAGTTAATAGATTGTAGGTTTTATAATTCACTAAATATATAAATAATATATTTAAAAAAGAAAGAACTAGAATACGGGCCCAACAGTTATAATCACAAAGTCTCACTTGACTTATATTATTGCCTGACAATCTACCCTTTAAAGCAGCTTATATCCTTATGAGTTCACAAATTCTTACTGCAGATTTAGTATTGTTTTTATTGCCTATAAACTTTTTTAATTAGCGTGCAATTAGGTTAGTCATAGAATAGTCTCACCCATAAATCGAGCGGCTGCCATAAAAATCAGTTATAGTATCGTGGCCATAGTTAACCAGCTATACGGATGTAATCTGAATCAAGAAAATTATTTAGAGTCTCAGGTCATTAGGTGTAACGTTTGCAGGGTAGTCAAATACCGATTTCCACATTTGCCACCTAACCCCCTAGTATTTTCACAACTTTTTCTTTTAATTGTTTTTTTATTTCAACACTTTTATCCAGTTTTAACTATAGTTAGTCTAATAATTACATATTTAGATGTAGGAAACTTGGTTGTCCTCCCGCGAAAAGAAGGAGGAAACAGCAAAACGGATTATTACAGGAGAGAATAAAAATATTTTTCATTTTTAGCTTTTAATTTCGATTTCTTACAGAGCCATATATCTGTGGATGCAATAAATTATATTATGCGTGTTAACCATAAATAAACTTATTACACAAAAAAAAAAAAAAAAAAGGGGCGAACGCATTTGGGGGATTTGCAGCTGCAATTGGTCTAGGGTATTATTATTATTATTACAATTAACCGACAATGGTGAACTTGAAATGGAGCTTAGCTAACAATTTGCTGTCTTTTTGCCAAATCATTTAACGAATCTTGCGCAATGGCGCTGGCCGAAATTGAAAGCGAAATTCGCGCCACTCGAGAACCGAAGGTAACTAGGCCAACGAAATAGCCGACAAAAAATCAGCAATATGTATATATAGTAACAGCAAGTCCCAACCAGTCTGCCTTGCCTGTGAAAGCAACAATTTGAATTTTATTGAATAATATTCGTAATTTTTGTCTTCGCAAAGTGACATGAGCGTGACGCATGCGCCCCCAACTCGAGTTTTTGATTTGGATATTATTTTTTTTCTTTTTTTATTTCGGCTTTTTTTTTGTTTTTTTTTTTTGGCGAACTCGCCCGCGGTTCATAATTGTTCATAAAGCGGCCGTTAGCATTGTTATTGCCTTGTTTCCAGCCTCTGGGGCTGAATTTCGAGTACTCATGCCTTAATCGTTGCCGTGCGTGCGATTTTTTTGCGGTCCCAAGGTATTTGTTGTTCACTTTTCAGTTCATTTTTCTTGATTTTTGTTTCTTTTGGATTCGATTTATTAAACAATTTCAATGGGTATACACGCTCGTACACAAGTGAATGATTTTTCGCACACACGCATCCCGCCGCGCCGCCCACAGCGGCCTGACTTTATTTTTTTTTTTAATTTTTTTTGTATCTTTTATTTTGTGTTATTCGAAACCAGTTTTTTCGGGGCGCTTGGCCAGCGCACTGAACTAATTGTCGCACAATTTTTCACCGCGTGGGCAAATTCGTAAAAGTGCAGCAATATAAAATCTAGCCAACGGGAAGCATTTTGTGCGTGCATTGCATAAGACCATTTTTCTGGGGGGGTCTTACCCCAAATACTCGCATTGTAATCACATAGCTCGGGTTCATGTGCCCGCTTGATTAAACTTCCTGGCGCTGAGACTCGAATTGCCGAATTCCCTTTTTAATTTATGCTAATTAAACGTGCTCAAACAGGAACCGAACCAGAAACCAGTCGCATGGCTCGTGTTTTTCAGAACAACTCGCACTCATTAAGTGAGAGTTCATCTCCAGCCGATGGGGATAAATATAAACTCTGTGAATTATCGCCAGCGAATGAGGCATAAATTGTGGGGAGTTGAGTTTTGACCGATGACATAATGCGTTAAGTATTGAGGCGTTTTTAGGTCTCAAAATGCAACAATAGAGCTGGTTGCACAAAGAAAAAGTAGCATTGGTAATATTAATATTATTGGGTGTATTCGTATTATATTTTATAATTATAAATAACAGTTTTCAATATTGTATATATTTAATTTGCCTGTATCCACAAAAAATTGATTGAAAAGAGCTCACTCACACCCATTTTATCAGTCAATTATTAATGTAAAATGTAAGATTGCATTAAATTCCTGTAATTTCGCCCAGTGCACCACTGACCTTAGTCAAGTCTACACTTTTTTGGCAAGATCGCATATCCTTGGGCGGGCTAAAAATGTCTCAAACCGATCAATGATAAATACGCCAACGGGCAGAACGTAGAACGTGCTGTGTGGCAAGCCACCACAAGTTGCCTCAACCTTGACCGTCATTTCGTGGCGGCTGAGTCGAAATATGTAAGCTCTTCGCACGGCCACCGGGCGTATACTTGATTTCCGGAAACTGCACACTCTCCTTCGACGTAGCGCCAAGTCATCTTCAAGTTCAGAAGGCACACTGATATTTATTTATAAATAAAAGTAACCTTAGTCGCCGACTCAATAAAGCGTACTTGAAGTGCGCGTAGAAATTTCCGCACCACATTATTAACATTGCCAGTCATGTCGGCGAAACCACAACTGCCAGCCAGCCAGCCACTCAGTCATCAGTTCGTATTGATGAAATGATATATTGTAAGCCAAAATAAGTATACGCACCGCTGTCTCAGTTGCATGAACAACAACGACGATGCTGACCTCAACACGTTCGTTCTCACTACGCAATTGGCTAAATCAAATAAAATCACCAAAACATCAAAAATCAACAATTACACTTCTGCCATTCGGACGCGAGGCGAAAGCAAAACGATAATTCTAAAGAAATAAGGTCGATGATTCTGGAATACCACAGAAATAATGTGTAACCTCCGGGTTTTCATACCGTTTACGAGGAATTGGTATTTGATCACAAATCTCATAAATCGAGAAGAGGTCCTTAACACCAGTTCAAATGAGTGCTTTACAAAATCAAAAGACTATAAATTAAAAAAACCCAAAAACCAATCTTATCCATAAGTAGGCAGCATTTATGACAACAAAATTTATCAATACTAATTTTTCCTAAAACAAATTCTCAAACTTTACACAACTTAAGTTAATTTTTTGCACGCATAAAGGAAAACAATTGATCATTTAATACAAATATTTACTAACCATTAATAGTGGGCAACTTAGCATACTTTTCGGCGCCAGAATTAAAATGAATTCCCAGTGTCAAACGAAATGGCGCAAATATAAAAGCATACTTTTCGGCATCGGACTTTAAATAAGTTGGCAGTTCCAAACAGTTGGCGGTAAAATATAAACTGAATTACATACAAAAGCTTCAAAGGCTTCAACGTAATTACAAAAAGAACCTAAATCTAAACATTCACTAGAAAACAAATAAATAAAAAACCAATTTTGAGTATATTTGGATTGCTTTTGTGCTATTTTTATTCGCTTGTTATTTTGTAATACTTTTGTCTTTTGGAGCAAACAAACAAATTCAACTACATTGGCTTGGCTCGAGGGGAGTTTTGTGTTTTGTGGTTTTTTTTCGATTTGGGTTTAAGGGGGAGTTGCCTATGACTAAAATGTATATTTTAAATATAGCTTTCCACATCCGTTAACTTAACATTCTTAGGTCTTTTGTTTGTGTTTGTTTGTGTATTTTTTTGTTTGTCCGCTAATTAATTAAGGTATTTGACTAACAATTAAAATGTAATCGAGGTACTATTAAATTAGACATTCGCTAATGCTCATAATTTGCTTTTGTTTTGTGCATGCAATTTGACTATTCTTGTGATTTGTGACCGTAACTTGGACCCTTCGCATTTAGACCAGGCTAATGCTGAGGCCCATGGGTAATCGCAGGCCGGCAAGTTGGAGCGAAGCTTGGTGGGAATCTTGATGGCTGCTGCCTGCTTTGCGGTGGCTCTGCGGTTCTACTGGCGCTTCCGCTTCCTCTTCCGCTTGGTCGTCCTCCTCCAGCTCCAGCTCCATTTCCTCAGCCCGTCCGTTTTCTTTGTCATCCTGGTGGGTAACCTGATAGCCGAGGCAGCGTCGCGCTTTGGTGGTTGGCAGGACTTCGGATATGGCACTATCGAATTGCAGCAGTATCTCATCTTCATCGAGGTGCCGCGTCCAGCGCGGTCTCGGTTTGAGGGGACTCATGATCTGCGGGGGTCGCGACGACACATTCGTGGTGGAGGAGGTGGTGGCGGTGGCTGATTCTGCTGAAGATGCGGGCGGTGCCTCCCTGCTCAGAGTGGTCCCCAGTCGCCGGAACATGGCCACTACCTTGCCATCCACACTGGGCTGCGGGAATCTTTGGTTAGTGGGTGCGGGACATGCAGTGGGTGCGGGTGCGGATGTGGGTGTGGCTGCCAGAGTCACCTCCTTGACCAGGCTCTCCGCCGGTTTCCGTCGCGGCGCCACACACTCCACCTTGCAGATCACATTGCTACGGCGCTGACCCTGTCTTAGGTACACCAACACCGACTGCTGACTGCGCTTCTTGGGACTCCGCCGCAGGCTCTCCATACAGCATTGTCGCAGCACTCGGCTCATCCGGCTGACAGAGGCACTGCGTCGGCTGGTCCTTCGCTTCGAGTAGGTAATGGGTGCGGGTGTGGGATTGACGGGCACTTGGGGCTGCGGCTGCGGCTGCGACTGGGGCTGGACGCGCACCTGGGGCCGGACCATCGCCACCGGACGCAGCTTGGTCCGCTCCTGCTGCAGCACACTGTTGCCCATGTGCGAAGGACTTTGGCTCTGGCTTTCGGCCTCATTGCTGTTGACCGCCTGCAGGGAATGCCAGTTGATTAGCCAGTTGTTGCAGCTGAAGCAGAGGAACTTGTCCTCGTTCAAGGGCTGTAAGTGAAGAGAGAAATAAATAGATGAGTATACGAGGCTCAAAGATGGGTATATATTTCATTAAGTTATTCTTATTTATAACGATAAATCTAACCGTTTTCCAGGGACGCTAATATGAATCTTTAAAGTCAACATAAATACTTAAATACTATATTTTATGCATAATGCATTTAATTTCAATAACATTCCTTTAATGTTTCACATTTTAGGATCCAGAGAAATATTTTAGATTTTTTTTTAAATCTATATTAGAGATAGATTTTATTTCTTACAAAGTGTGAATCCTGCTGACTTTGGACTTATAGCACAATGTGTGTTACAATTTAAAGGCATACAAGTTACAAGGCTTATCATTGCCTTAAACTACCAGACTTTATTGTATCTTTTGAAACTATTCAAACAGTTGATTAGTTTTAATGGTAGAGAGTAAGAGAAGCTATTGAGAAAAGGTAACTATCGAAAGCAATTAGTTTATCCCTATAGGTCTGTCACCGTTAGGATCATTAGGACTCAGTAACTACCTTAGAATGAAATGTGACCCCAATTCGATGGCATGTCCTGCAATCTCAAGCCAGGCATGACCACAGAATAAACCTCTTGAAAATTACGATACGCCTATGCACTTAGTGATCGCTCTCGGTTGCCACCCGAACGACCACTAATGAGCATCGAACCGAAGGTGCAAAAAAAAAAGGCATAACAATCCCAAAAGCAACTGCCAGACGGCCCGAGCATATTAATTACCCGAGCGGAGCTCAGCATTCCTGGGGTA